GGATATGGAAAAAACTATGCAATATCTTTTCTTAAAGCTCACTGTCCAACGTGCTTCTTCGAAATCAGGTTATGACTTTAAGACTTGTTGTGTGTGCCTTCAGCAGCAAGACAAACACAAATAATCTCATCATATATTTAGATAATGTCTTCTATGTGCCAGTCACACTTATAAGTGCTATAAATACATTACTGAACAGAACAGTAAAAATCTTTGCATTCTTTCAGGGGAAGAGATGAAATATAAGCACAATAATTAAGTACATTTTATAGTACAGTAGAATGGTTTATGACACATAAGAACAGGTAAAGAGAGTGGGTATGCTGTGTGAGATTGAGGAAGAATAGTAGATACAGAAAGGGCATTAAAATGACTTGTGGGTTATTCTCAACTGTTAGAATTAAACTCCCAGTGTCTATGTGTGTGTTTGTGCATGTGCATGTGTTTTTGTGTAAGCATCCTTCTGTTTTAGGCTTCATACTCTTCCATGGCATGCATTAAAATTAAACTCATTGTGGTTTTAAGGAGGCTCAGTGTAGTACTATGATTTGAAGTCATCAGTCATATCAATTTTCTCCCACACCATGTGGCCAAACTTAGGATCCTGCTCCTTTCTCATCAGTGCAGTTGCTTTAATATATGAGCTGTAGAAAGTATATTGTCAACATACTTAGCAATTCAGTAACTCACAAGATCAGTGCAATGTCCTATTTTTCTGAATCAATCAATTTCTCTATACCAGTGGATATACCAATTAAGATAAATTTCCTTGATTATAGTTAACAATACTGTACTGTATCCTTGAAAGTTACTAAGGGAGTGAATCTTAAATGTTCTCACGACAACAACAAAAAAATGGTAAACGTGAATTGATGGAGACGTTAGATAGTGCTAAGTTGTGATCATACTGTAGTATACGTGTACCAAATCAAACACTGTATAACTTAAACTTACACAATGCTATATGTCAGTTATATCTCAATAAAGCTGGAGAAAAAAAATTTCTTGAGTCTCCCGTGGAAGCTTCCAATTTTTTTTTTTATTTCGTATTTTATTGAGATCTTAGTTGTAAACTGTTTGTTTTTGTCTAATGGGATTCTTATTCTTCCTTATCTTTCTGAAAACCTAGGATACTTCTTGTTTAAAATTCATATTCTAATGTTTTTGTATCTTTGCATAAAAGGTCTACTCTATGTTGAATTAAATTTTTGCCTCTTTCATGGGGTGACTTTCCTCAACATTTGTTCGTATGAGTGTAATATATTTTTAGGAGGATTCACTGTTTGACTGCATGGATTTGATAATCCCTCTTGTAGAAAGCAAGAGGAGACAATAACATGATTTGGTCTATTCTATATTCCTAGTGAAAGTAGTAAGATACGTAGCAATTTATATATATGCTATGTCTTCCGGACAAACTTCCTCTTAACCCTCTTAATTTCCACTTTTTTGTTTATTTTTAATATTTTCCACATTCATGCAACTTTATTTACATCATAGAAAGACTGGACTGTTTTCTTTGTCCTCCATCATAGAATAAAATTTTCTATGTAGTCAATCAAATTTAAATAAAAATAATTCATTAAACTAAAAAATGTATATTTTCATGTGTGGAGAAGTATTACTAAAATCATACAGTTGATTTTTTTAATTAAGAAAAAAATTCTACTGAAAATATGTATGAACTTGCAAATATAAATATAAGAAAATATTTTTGCTTTCTAGAATATGTTGGGCAGAGATACAGTGAAATATTACATTAGTTATTAGTGGCCACTAAGATTATAAAAATGTTTAAATTAATATTTTTGGTTCTATGTTTTCCCAAATTATCTTCAGTGAATAATTATGACTTTTATAATAGGAAATGGTAAAAGTCTCAATTATCTAGATTTAAGAAAATAAACTGTGACTAAACATATTCCAACATATTCCAAACATGTTGGAATATGTTTAGTCACATCTAACAATATATCTCACATCTAAAAAAATATTGGTATGGCTTCTATATAATTTTGATAACAATTATATGCATTTTAAAAACTAGTCTTTATTTCATTATTAAGTCCACATATAAGTTATTTCAGAAAGTTTTATATTTTTCCATAACATATAAAAAATTCAAAAAATCAGGAATTGGTACATAACTGAAATTTTTGATATGATATTATGAAGACTATAAGAATTTAATATATTATGCAATAATCATTCAGAAAGATTAATAAAACAGAATAGGAAAAGTAC